GCTGACCCTTCTTAGCTTCCAACAGCAGACTGTATCTAGTACTTTGGGGGTATTTTGCCATAATAAGTCCACCAGTCCAACCTCTCCGGTGAGAAATAGTCCAAATCCAGTTGAGTACACAGCGAGAAATTTGAGAGGACACTACCTTGCCACTCACTCATTCTCAATTACACACTCCATCCCTGTATCCCTTCCTCCTCCTCCCCCTCCTCCCAATAACTCTTTGACACTCTCTAGTGGAAGCCAGCGACATGCAGCACCTCAAGCCAGGCTCAGCAGGCAAGGCAATGAAGGATGGGGGGGGGTCTGCTGGCTTGCAAAGAAGCGAAGCTGACGGAAATGGATCTTGGGCACTGTTGCATGCGCTTTCCCGCGCTCGGGCTTTCTCACACCACATCCAAAACACTTACAGACAGGTCCCTTCTGTTTGAAGCCCAGAGGATAACATGGTACTGAAGCATAAATAAAGAGTGCCACTAGCAAGGAGTAACTGGCAGAAGACAAAACCCCAGCCAGCAAACTGTCACGGCTGCTCCAGAGGGTTTATAAGCTTTATCAAATCTGTGCCGGCTAATTCGCTTTCAGAGGTGTGTGTGTATATATATATACTGATAACGTTGCTTTTCTCTCACCGTTTCCCCCTTTCGTTGTTTTCTTTGCCTGCAGAAAGACAGACTCCAGGACAGATTCTTCCATGCCTCCTTGACTCCCACCAGCAGAAGCAATGGGGGTTGCCCACAGATTACAAGGTCAAGCATCATTTAGTGAAACAGACCCCACCTTATTTCTTTAATTGTGCAATAGTTAGCCTGAGCTCACCGGGCACGGACCCTGTTATCCGCGGTCCTAGTCTTAAATTTGACTACAGCAGTGTTTATCAACCTTCCTAAAGCCCCCCCCCCCCTTAATACAGTTCCTCATGTTGTGGTGACCCCCAACTGTCAGGAACCGGTTTCCAGGCCTTGAGTCTTGGCGCAAAAAACCAGAATCCTGACATGGAGTGCTGATAAGGATGTGCAGCTGGTGGCCTTGGGGGGAAGCAGTTGGCATTTGGCGGGGAATATTGCGCGGGATTCTCGGCCGGCGGGAAAGGGGAATTCAATTGTGAGGGAGGGTATATAAGGGTTAAACTGCGGCTGCAGGCCAATCCTGGCTTTCTTCGTGTATGAATGTCCAGCAGTAAAAGTTCCTGATTGATTACGGATTGGCGTCCTGTGTCGTTATTGGGAGCGGCTGCTGTGAGCTTACACCCAACCATGAAATTATTTTTTGTTACTACTTCACAACTGTGATTTTGCTACTGTTATGAATCATAATGTAAATATCTGATATGCAGTAAATATCTTCACTCACTGGACCAAATTTGTCACAAATACCCAATACGACCAGATTTGAATACTGGTGGGGTTCAGGCAAATTGATTTTGGGAGTTGTAGTTGCTGGAATTGATAGTCCACCCACAATCAAAGAGCATTCTGAACTCCACCAACAATGAAATGGAACCAAACTTGGCATACACAACTCCCATGACCAACAGAAAATACTAGAAGGGTTTGGTGGGCATTGACCTTGAGTTTTGGAGTTGTAGTTCACCTATATCCAGAGAGCACTGTGGACTCAAACAATGATGGATCTGGACCAAACTTGGCACGGATACTCAATATGCCCAAATGTGAACACTGGTGGAGTCTGGAGGAAAACAGACCTTGGCATGTGGGAGATATAGTTGCTGGGATTTATAGTTCACTTATAGTTCACTTACAATCAAAGAGCATTCTGAACCCCACCAACGATAGAATTGGACCTAACTTTCCACACAGAACTCAGATGACCAACAGAAAATACTGTGTTTTCTAATGGTCTTTGGCGACCACCAATGATTCCTCTTGGAAAGAAGTGATGAGTGGAGTGCCGCAGGGTTCCGTCCTGGGACCGGTCCTGTTCAACATCTTTATTAATGACTTAGATGAAGGGCTAGAAGGCATGATCATCAAGTTTACAGATGACACCAAATTGGGAGGGATAGCCAATAGTCCAGAGGACAGGAGCAGGATTCAAAACGGTCTTGACAGATTAGAGAGATGATGGGCCAAAACTAACAAAATGAAGTTCAACAGTGACAAATGCAAGATACTCCACTTTGGCAGGAAAAACGAAATGCAAAGATACAAAATGGGGGACGCCTGGCGCAAGTGCAGTACGTGTGAAAAAGATCTTGGAGTCCTCGTGGACAACAAGTTAAACATAAGCCAACAATGTGATGTGGTGGCAAAAAAAGCCAATGGGATTTTGGCCTGCATCAATAGGAGCATAGTGTCTAGATCTAAGGTAGTCCTGCTCCCCATGCTCTATTCCGCTTTGGTTAGACCACACCTGGAATATTGTGTCCAATTCTGGGCACCACAATTCAAGAGAGATCTTGAGAAGCTGGAATGTGCCCAGAGGAGGGCGACTAAAATGATGAAGGGTCTGGAGAACAAGCCCTATGAGGAACGGCTTAAGGAGCTGGGCATGTTTAGCCTGAAGAAGAGAAGGCTGAGAGGAGATATGATAGCCATGTATAAATATGTGAGAGGAAGCCACAGGGAGGAGGGAGCAAGCTTGCTTTCTCCTTCCTTGGAGACTAGGACATGAAACAATGGCTTCAAACTACAAGAATGGAGATTCCACCTGAACATGAGGAAGAACTTCCTGACTGTGAGAGCCGTTCAGCAGTGGAACTCTCTGCCCCGGAGTGTGGTAGAGGCTCCTTCTTTGGAAGCTTTTAAACAGAGTCTGGATGGCCATCTGTCAGGGGTGATTTGAATGCAATATTCCTGCTTCTTGGCAGGAATGGGGTTGGACTGGATGGCCCACGAGGTCTCTTCCAACTCTTTGATTCTATGATTCTATGATTCTATGACCCCTCTGATACACCCTCGTGACCCCCACAGGGGTCCCCAACCCCCAGGTTGAGAAACCCTGGACTACAGCATGAGGCAGTTTCCTGTACTCTTATGTCCCTGTGACCCTGGTGTATTTCTGTTTAGCTTTAGCACGACAATTCAAAACAAAAAATAGAGGAACGTTCTCAAGGAAAGGCAGAGTGACAGGACACACAGTAGACAGGCCAAAATGACTCTGGACAAATCAAAAAGCTTTGCGACAAAATGAGGGGAAGAGAACAGAAAAGAGAAAAGGTCGGTCCATCCCAAGACTTGTCTGAGTTCAAACTCATATATTCTACTATTCTTAATCTTTAAATGTTAATATCAACTGTAGACCTTTGAAACGCTGCTGTGATGAATATATACACTATATATCATCTTAGTGTCTGTGTATATGTGTGTGAGTGAAAGAGAGTGTGTAAAAATATAGGTTAGAATATTTTATTATTTGTATTATTTTAGTTGGGATATCTCTCTGTGCTTGCAATTACAAACATGATAGTTTATCAGCATCTACTGTTGAGTAACAACTGTTATTAATCACAGTGACATAAATTAATACCCGTTGCTTGTAAGACCATGGAACGTTCTGGCGTGCCATTTTAATGGGAGTGGAGGCCCTTCCTCTCTCCCTCTCCGTCTTGCTTTCTCTCTCTGACCATCCAGAACTGGAGATTCCAGGCCTCCTTTTCCATTGCCACTTCATAAATCTACTGCTTGTAATTATGCCTCTGGGGTGGCTTCCCTTTCAAAAGAGACGCTCTCCACTCCGTTTCCCCGTTGGGTCTCCCGGCTGCCTCGCCATGTCATTTGTGCAGCCTTCCTCCATGTTGGGTTCATCATTTTTGAAGCTTCTTCAAAGATTTCAAATGATCACCCTAATGAGCGTTGCGGTGTATGTTAGGGCCAGGGCAATGGCAGGATGTGTTGCCCAAATCGGAGGAATTTGTTTGGCTTTGGGAAAATAAAAAATAAAATAGAAATCTGTGGGACATTTTGAAGCAAGCTCTCATAAATCATATGTGAAAAGGTACTAATTTATTTAGTACACTGGAAGTTGTTAGGGCGTCTGTTTAAGTAAAGAAAATGTGTTTTGCCATTCATGTGCCTTTCTGAGCATGTAGACCTTCTTCTGCAAATCTCCATTTCTCTTCAACAGATTTTCTGAACCTTCCTTGTTTCGTTGCATTTTAACCCCCTCCCCCAAAGCAGCACTTGTGTGATTTGGGGACAATGCAGATCTGTAGCACTGCAATAAAGTCCAATATCCCAGGCCTCATAGGCTAGATCAGTTCAAAGCAGATAATCTGGATTTTGTACAGCAGTGTAGATGTGACCTTACTGGCTAAAGAAAGCCCGGTACTCCAAATGTGATGGTGTAGGACACCCCAAATTCTAACGATCTGGATTGTAGGTATTAGGGCTGGGCGGTTTCGTTCGTTAATTTCATAATTCGTTATTAATTCATATTTAATTTAGCTTACAATCCGATATTGAACCATGCAGGAGTAATTAAAAATCGAAACAAATTTTTCAATTTATTTCGTAATTGTTTCGACATCGTTTCGTTATTGTTTCGAAATCGTTTCATTATTGTTTTGTAATTATTTCCATATGTCTGGTGCAAGTTTTAGGGTTAAAAAATAAATTATCACACCAACAGTCAACAACAGAGGGAGAGGGAAGCTTCAGAAGTTCCCCCTGTCCCATTTGGAGGKTTTTTTAGCATAGTGCGCAATCGCGTCCGCCATTACGAATCGATTCGTAATTGTTTCGAAATCAATTCGTAATTGTTTCGTAATTTTATGAAATTTCGTATATTTCGAACTTTTTTAAAGGAAAATTTCAGAATTCTTTTAAAAAACGAAACGCAAAAACCCCCTAAAAWCTAATCGAGTTTAGAAACAAATTTTTCCGTGGTTGCCCAGCCCTAGTAGATTTTTTTAAAGAAACCATTTTACTGAGAAGAAAATACAGGTGCAAAAGTAGCATAGAAAACGTGTAGACATTTTTTAAAAATACATCAACTGCAATCAACAAGGTGAGGTAGTTTTCGATTTCGGTTGTTGGGCATCAGCATTTTGTTTGGTACTTATTTTGCAGAACTTGGTAGTCCAGAACCATCTTCTGGGATTGCAATGATCTCATTAAAGCTGTATATCCTGCTTTGGAAATGGCACGGTATAACGATAACACCACCACTACTAGCTCACCAAAAGATAGAGGGAGTATAGTTGCTGAACCAACTGTATATGTAAAAGCTAGGAACTGGGAACCACTGGAACTGAGAGACTCAAAATGATTCTTCAAAAGATATCCACTACCACCTATTAATAATAAACAGGCTGAGGTATTATTGAGAGGTTGTTCAGTAACACACTCTGTGTCACCATAGTTTTCTTAGAGGCTGTTAAAAGCTGGCTTGAATAATACTTTGACCACAAAGGTATTCACACTGAGGCTGGTATAAGTTGATAAAAATAACAAGAATGTTTATTGAACAGGCTTGAAATATTCAGGTACAAAAGCTTAATGGTTTCAGTAAAATACTGGCATAAAAAGCTTGTGGTTGCGTTAGAGTAAAGATCTTAAAAACTTACGGGTTACAAGTCTTTAAAAGTTCCACCACAGAAAATTACTTCAGGAAATGAATCTCTGAAAGTAACTCCCCAAAAACCCCCTTAGGAATTTAGCCAAAAAGCCCTGAACTAGACTTCCTTAGGAATTGAACAGACCACTAACGGGGTTAGGCTCCACACAGTATTCTAGCTATATTCTCGCTAGCTATTCTGAATACTACCCAAAAAGACTGACCCAAACTTCTTCTTCAAAACCCAAACTGCTCTCGCTAACACCCACACTTCTTCTCTCTACCTGTTCCAAACTCCAGCTGGCAAACTGGGACCTCAAGCCTCAGTTTAAAAGACACTTTTTCCTTCAGACCACTTCGGATCCACCCCCATCTTCCTAGCCAATCCCAGCCCTCTGATTTTCCCTCCTAGACTAGAACACGCCCCCTCAAGGCAAACCTAACCTAATATGGCTTCTCCCTGTTTCCCTACTCCACAATGGACGGCGTGGCTTCGCCAGACCCACTTCCTTAGGCCTAAGCTAGCCTGCTAAGGCAAGGGATTCATTACATATGGCTTTGTCCTTGGCAACCATGGTCCATTGGGTGCCTGTGCTTGAGGCAGAAGTTCTGGTAACACTGGTTGCAAACCAGCTTCATCATCTCTTTCTTTTTGCAGCCTGGGTTGAAGGACTTGATGGTGAAGATCTTTTGCTTCTGTTTGGTAGAATCCTGTTTACAGTCTCGGTCCATAGGAGCAGTGACCACAGTATCTGGCCTCTCCCCCTTTCTAACTGGAATGGGAGTGTTACACAGGGGACAGACTGGAACCTGCACATCCTTTTTGTATGTCGCCTAAGGGCTGAGAAGAGCAGTATAGAAATGAAGTAAATAAATAAATAAACTGTATGCACAAGAACACTTGTGCCGGTCACATGCAAAGTGGTCTTTACGGAAGACATCTTCACATGCATCACACTTCAGAGATAGAAAGTCCAATTGTTTACAAGTCTTCTCAGAGCAGTGTTCACCCAGGTTTGGGAATTCCATTACTAGGAAGTCATCTGCTTACAGTTATAAAGTAGCAATGAAAATAAATTTATGGTTGGGGGTCACCACAACATGAGGAACTGTATTAAGGGGCCGTGGCATTAGGAAGGTGGAGAACCACTACATTAGATGATGTGGCTCTTTTCAGTTCCGTGGTGCTCTTGAAGTTGAAGGGAGTACCCATTGTGTGCTATCACATAGGAAGTGCCACCTGAGCCAGGTACCCTTGTGTGTCAAGTGGGAATATGTGGACACAGAAAACCCAGTTCAAAGCAAATATTGTGGGATTTTCTGCCTTGTTATTATGGGATATAGGGCTGTGTGGAAGGTCCCTAGGATATACTTTACTTACTTACTTAGACGATCCCTCATTGTCCAAGTAGGATTGTCTTCCAAGATCGGTGTCCTGGCGGTGGGTCCGTAGGTGACTGTGAAGCCCTATTCATGGCCTGCATGTTCTCCCGCAGTGAGGGCATCGTTTCCAGGCAGAAGGTGGTACCGGTCAGGGTTGGCTTGACATGCCTTCTCTTGACATATTTCTCTCTTTCGCTCTCCATCCGTGCCTCTTCAAATTCTACAGCACTGCTGGTCACAGCTGACCTCCAGCTGGAGCTCTCAAGGGCCAGGGCTTCCCAGTTTTCAGTGTCTATGCCAGAGTTTTTAAGGTTGGCTTTGAGCCCATCTTTAAATCTCTTTTCCTGTACACCAACATTCTGTTTTCTGTTCTTGAGTTCGGAGTAGAGCAACTGCTTTGGGAGATGGTGGCCGGGCATCCAGAAAACATGGCCGGTCCAGTGGAGTTGATGGCGGAGGACCATCGCTTCAATGCTGGCGGTCTTTGCCTCTTCTAGCAGATTGACGTTTCCATTAGGCTTGGGCAGTTTCGTTCATTAATTTCGTAATTTGTTATTAATTCGTATTTAAATTAGCTTACGATCCAGTATTGAGCCATGCAGGAATAGTGTGAGGAGTAATTAAGAATCGAAACAATTTTTCCAATTTTCGTAATTATTTCGTAATTATTTTCGTAATATAATATAATAATATATAATATATAATACAATATATTATAATAATATAATATAATAATATAATATAATATATATATTATATAATATACAATAATATAATATAATAATATTATAATATAATATACAACAATATAGTATAATAATATTATAATAATATGATATAATATAATATAGTTGTTGTTTGTTTTATCACACCAACAGTCAACAACAGAGGGAGAGGGAAGCTTCAGAAGTTCCCCCTGTCCCATTTGGAGGTTTTTTAGCATATTGCGCAATCGCGTCCACCATTAACAAATCAATTCGAAATTTACGAAATTTAGTAAATTTCAAAATTTTGAAAAGGACAATTTCAGAAGTCCAAAAAAAAAAAAACGAAACACCATCGCCCCCTACAAATGAAACGAGTTTAGAACCAAATTTTTCCGTTGTTACCCAAGCCTAGTTTCTATGCTTGTCTTCCCGGGAGATTTGCAGGATTTTCCAGAGGCAGCGCTGATGGAATCGTTCCAGGAGTTGCATGTGACATCTGTAGACAGTCCACGTCTCACAGGCATATAGTAATAGCTTTATAAACAAGTACCTTGGTATCCCTACGGATGTCCCGGTCCTCAAACACTCTCTGCTTCATTCGGAAAAATGCTGCACTCGCAGAGCTCAGGCGGTGTTGTATTTCAGTGTCAATGTTGACTTTGGTGGAGAGGTGGCTGCCAAGGGAGCGGAAATGATCAATATTTTCTAATGTGACACCGTTAAGCTGTATCTCTGTCATTGGAGAGAGATTGGCTGGTGACTACTGGAAGAGCACTTTGGTTTTCTCGATATTTAATGACATGCTGAGCTTCTCGTATGCTTCTGCGAAAGTGTTTAGAGTGGCTTGCAGGTTTTCTTCTGAATGCGCACAGATGATGTTGTCATCAGCATACTGGAGTTCTATAACAGATATTGCTGCAACCTTGGTTTTGGCTTTTAGTCTGCTGAGGTTAAATAGTTTACCATCTGTCCGATAGATGATTTACAGAAAGGTAGAAGTCTCCATGGCTCACATTGGAGGACAAAACACGTAAATGGTCTCATTTACCATGCAATGACGAAGTTCAAAATGAAGTTCAACAGTGACAAATGCAAGATACTCCACTTTGATAGGAAAAACGAAATGCAAAGATACAGAATGGGGGACAATGCCTGGCTTGAGAGCAGGACGTGTGAAAAAGATCTTGGAGTCCTCGTGGACAACAAGTTAAACATGAGCCAACAATGTGATGTGGCGGCAAAAAAAGCCAATGGGATTTTGGCCTGCATCAATAGGAGCATAGTGTCTAGATCCAGGGAAGTCATGCTACCCCTCTATTCTGCTTTGGTTAGACCACACCTGGAATATTGTGTCCAATTCTGGGCACCACAATTCAAGAGAGATATTGACAAGCTGTAATGTGTCCAGAGGAGGGCGACTAAAATGATCAAGGGTCTGGAGAACAAGCCCTATGAGGAGCGGCTTAAGGAGCTGGGCATGTTTAGCCTGAAGAAGAGAAGGCTGAGAGGAGAGATGATAGCCATGTATAAATATGTGAGAGGAAGCCACAGGGAGGAGGGAGCAAGCTTGTTTTCTGCTTCCTTGGAGACTAGGACGCAGTGGAACAATGGCTTCAAACTACAAGAGAGGAGATTCCATCTGAAGATGAGGAAGAACTTCCTGACTGTGAGAGCCGTTCAGCAGTGGAACTCTCTGCCCCGGAGTGTGGTGGAGGCTCCTTCTTTGTAAGCTTTTAAACAGAGGCTGGATGGCCATCTGTCAGGGGTGATTTGAATGCAATATTCCTGCTTCTTGGCAGAATGGGAGTGGACTGGATGGCCCATGAGGTCTCTTCCAACTCTTTGATTCTATGATTCTATGACGAAACGTGCCAGGATTTACAACCCTGTTTGCAGGGCTCTGTAGCAACCCTTTATGTGGCTGGTGTCGTGTTTCAGCAGACACCAACCCACAGTGGCCTATATATTCAGCACCACTTCCCGGGAATGTACCTGGGGAGTACAAGCAGGAAGCCACAACGAAGAGGATTACTTGCACTCGATCCAGAGCAGCAATATGCTTTACACATTGGAGCAATCCCCAGGTACACTTCCCCCTTGCAAATGTTTCCATCCATGGTGCAGAAACAATACAAACAAAGGAGGGTGATCTGACAGGCTTGTAAGTGAAAGTTAACCACAGAGTGCAGTGAGCACGTCTTTGCCGATTCCTGGTTAAAAGCCACTGAAGTGCAACAGCAATGCTGAAAACCCAAGTGAAATTCATCAGACACAATATTTGCATTAAGATGTACCGTCTGCAGGAGAGATGTCAAGATCTTCTGCTGGGATTAAGTTCAGGGAGGGAGAACTTAAGGGAGGGATCACCCTCAGATTAATTAATTCTTCAAAATGAAAGGATCCCGCATTTCCCTCGACGCTAAACCAACACTGCCTTGGAAAAAGGGCTTCCCTTTAAAAACAAACACATCCTTCCACACTCCACATGTTTATTCCATGTAATATTTCTTGAAGGGTAGCATTGGTTTCCAGGTGGAAAGCGATCCTGGTCAGAATTGACACACCTTCCTCTTGGAACATTTCTCCCTTTCGCCCTCCATTTGGGCCTCTTCAAATTCTACAGCACTGCTGGTCACAGCTGACCTCCAGTTAGAATGCTCAATGGCCAGGGATTTACAGTTCTCGGTGCCTAAGCCACAGTTTTTAAGGTTGGCTTTACTTACTCAATGGCCGAGTAGGATAGTCTTCCAGGATCAGTGTTCTGGTGGTGGGTCCATAGGTGACTGTGGAGCCCTATTCTTGATCTGCATGTTCTCCCGCAGTGAGGGCATTGGTTTCCAGATGGAAGGTGATCCCGGTCTGGGTTGGCTTGACGTGCCTTCCTCTTGGCACATTTCTCTCTTTCACCCTCCATTCGTGCCTCTTCAAATTCTACAGCACTGCTGGTCACAGCTGACCTCCAGTTAGAATGCTCAATGGCCAGGGATTTACAGTTCTCGGTGCCTAAGCCACAGTTTTTAAGGTTGGCTTTCTTTACTTACTTACTTAAGTGATCCCTCATTGTCCGAGGATGATGGTCCCCCAAGTGTAGCTTCCTGGCGGTGGGTCCGTAGGTGACTGTGGAGCACTATTCTTGATCTACATCTTCTCCCGCAGTGAGGGCATCGGTTTCCAGGTGGAAGGTGATCCCGGTCTGGGTTGGCTTGATGTGCCTTCCTCTTGGCACGTTTCTCTCTTTCACCCTCCATTTGTGCCTCCTCAAATTCTACAGCACTGCTGGTCACAGCTGACCTCCAGTTAGAGCACTCAGGGGCCAGGACTTCCCAGTTCTCAATGTCTATGCCACAGTTTTTAAGGTTGGCTTTGAGCCCAACTTTCAATCTCTTTCGAAAAAAACTGAAAACTTGGTTCTTCAAGCAAGCTTTTGGAGCCTCAGCATAATCAGACAAACTTGAATCGGAAAATGACCTAGGAACGGCTAAGACCACATTATTGTTGTTGTTGTCTGAATTATATTGATCCTGGGTTTTTTTGATTACTGACTGTTGCTGGTTCAGGACTCATCGGGGAAATCATCATTACATGTAATATTACTAATAATATCGTGGTATGGTGCAAATTAGCAATTTATTTATCGTGTCAGGAACAAGCCAAACAGTTGTATTGTATTTTTAACAAACAAACAAAACACAAAGTTTGCAAACTTGGTAGTTGATGAAATGTCCTTTGACCAGTATCTGGCCACTTGGAGTGCCTCTGGTGTGGCCACAAGGAGGTCCTCTGAGGTGTTCCAGCGAGTGTCTCTGTAGATCTTAGAAAACTATTTCTTGATTTAAGTCATTGACATGCTGACTGATACCCAAACAGGGGATGAGCTGGAGATGCCTCTGCCTTGGTTCTTTCACTATTGGCTGCTACTTCCTGGCGGATGTCAGGTGGTGCAATACCAGCT